TTTGGTAGACTTATATTATATGCGTATTGAAAAAAAGTTCGAATAGGGTCACTCACGCATGGATCATAAGGAATACCACTTATTTGATCCTTAACAAATACCTTAAGATCTTTAACATGCCCAGTTATCAAACTATAATATGCAGTATTGTAAAAACTATAAATGAAAAATGTAAATAGAGCCCATAATATTATTATAGCTTTGAATTTGGTATTTTGAAGTAACTTACGATCAGTGTGCCCATAAAAATATGCCCATAATTTCAAACTTAAAATCATATAATCTTGTTTCTTAGATAATAACACTTGTGTGATTGCAGTGAAGACAGTCATGAAAAAATATGCCAATATAATTAATATCCAAGTTTGGATTCCAAACTCACGAAAAACGTTTTTCCAGAATTGTTCATCATCTTTAGGCGTTAGTAAAATTAAATCTGCGTAATTGTATCCCCAAATATAATCGAATACTTCTACTCGGTTTTTGATCAAAACAAATCCTCCGGCTGCCATATTTACTTTGCCATCTTGTAATCTACCTAGAATACCTGTAGACGTGCGATTGGGCAAAACTACGCCAAAACTCATTTCAGCGGAAGCATACTGATACTCTATTGTGATGCCATAGAGAGCAGCAATTGTTTCTATCAGATATTGTTCCAAACCTACTATATAAATTCCGAAAACTGTATAATTGTTAGATTCTAATATAATATTTGGAATATCTTCATTTGCTGCTACTATAATTGTACAGTTACGTAGAATATTGTGATCTTGGTCTTGAAATATGTTGGAAACTTTGTTAATACTCGTATCTCTACAAAATCCCAGATTTTGTATTGAATCAAAATGTTGCCCACAAGTATTGTTATTGAATGGAAAATAAGTGAACATTTCACTTTCATCAGTATGTAAATAATTTAGCAGAAGCACTCTATATATTCTAAATTTTATTAATATATCGAATGCTTTTTGCAAATGGTTTGTTTTCAATTTTTCTAATTGGATAATGAAACTAGCCCTAGGGTTCCAAAGAACATCTTTTGTCAGTTGAGAAATACCATCAGCTAATTCATTCAAATCTCGTGCTATAATAAGGTAAACATTCGTTTCTAAAAGCCAATCTTGATATTCATATGATCTGACAACTATTCCGTAACAGTTAATGTTGTTAATGGACCTTAGTAAAGAGTTGACGTTTACATTGGAAAACACTAAAGTCACATAGGTGTTACACGCAAAATATTTTTTTAATATAATTGTAATACACTGCACATTACTTTGGTAGATATTTTCGTCACTGCTGATCAGAAAATTATTATTATTATCGATTATTTGACCTCGCAAATAAGGCTCTTGTAAATATATAAAAATAAACAAAAGTAGAGAAAAACTTTTCATCATTGTTTATTGTTACACGTTTAAAACTTTTGGTTGTGAGTAATATAATGACTTTACCAAGCTTTGGTGGCAGCAAAATATTCAATTAACATGAATAAATACAAACAAGCGTTGTAGTTAACGATTTCCTAACGATGTAAACTTATGTTTAGCTGTCGTGTATTACTGTGATTTATTACTATATAAACCAACATACGCCTTTATCATTTTAGATAATCATAAAAAGATATTTTAACCTTCCTTTAGTTTCAGATGCTATCGAAATATTTTCACATTTGGCCAAGAGATAATTTTATGTTGATTGCTTTACCAGATCAAAACCGTACATGGAGAAGGTAAGGCCTTCTTCGGAAAATATATTGCTGACGCCATTCCGCTAATAAGAAAAAAGAAATTGGTGGCGGACTTTTTCGCTGGTTTAGCATTACCGTTAGTTTCAGTTAAGGTAATGCAGACTCGTATATTTTGTGTGAAGTCCTTTTTTTATTTTATACTTTATTTATAACTAGCTGTTCCCCGCGACTTCGCCCGCGTGCAATTTAGCGTTCAATATATGCTCCACAATCTTGCAAAGTATGGAAGTAATTGAAATTGACCGATAGTTGTCAGGGTTGGCACAGCTGCGCTATTTAGGCTTAGGCTGCACATTGGCTAGCTTCTAATATTTGGGCACTTTTTTAGTCCTGAATGAGAGGCGGGATAAGCGCGTTAGCACAGGAGACAACTTAGGCACACAAACCTTTAGAACTATAACTGGTATACCATCAGGTCCGCTAGCTTTGTTCACGTCTAGATTTCGCAAGGTTTTAAGTACCTCCTTGTTGGTGATATGAATCTGAGGTACCCCAGTGAGGTGATTTAGGTGGTATGCTGTTGTTACTGTCCAGAGCTAATTGCAAGCAAAAAGAGAAGCGAATAAGTCAGCTTTCGCCTTAGCTGTATGCGCCAGTGATCCATCTGGTTTAACCAGCGGAGGCAGTAGAGTCGGTAGAAGTTTGTCCCGACCGCTTTGGCAAGAGACCAAATAGCTCTACCTCCAGATGGTTTGACAGAGAGCTTTGCACCGATGCGTTTACTGCTGCTTTTTTACTGTTTACTGCTAAACTGGTTTGCAGTAATGACTTTTACAGGACTTTGCGACTTGGTTAAAGGCTCTCTTCTTATGACTAACATCCGGAGCTTTGCGGTATCGATCATCGACCTAGGATAAATGCGCCACATGCATTTGCTTTACAGCACGAGCGCAAAAGTTAAACCATAGATGAGCTTTACCACCAATGGTCACCTCAGCACAGAGCATCCTCGTAATAATTCGCTACTAATACTCGTCACGTATCACATCAGTAATGGCACGTAGCTCGACGGATCTTCAGTTGAGCAGTAAACCAGCCGCCAAGGATAAGATGACTGGTATCTCCACATTCGCCACACACCTTGAAAATCGTAATTAGGTGGGGATTCGGTATATTCCGGACACACAGATTTTACCAAACAGCGGTAAGAAGTTCCCAAGGGTGAGGTAACCTAAACATCGTACCGGTCAGGATCAGTGATCAGTAAAAAGTCGAGGTATTTGTCTGTGTGCCCATCCACATATTTTTTATAGGATAGGGTGACAAACGAGCACACAGTCCACCTGATGGTAAGTGGTTGCTGTGACGCATAGATATCTACATTTATCCTCGTTTGCGAATCACAATTGCAGATGCGTTGTCACCAGTGAGGACTAAGATAGAATGCCTCTTTTCCAGTAAAAATGCTCTCTGGTTCTCTACACTCACCATACTAAACACAGCAGCATAAAGCTGCTATTTGATGCTAGTATCCTGTGAGAGCGTGGTCTTTCCCCGGTCGAGCCGACCCATTCGTGCTACAACTATACTACTAATATAGCTGCAGCATGGTTCTACCACGTAAAAATCGGGTACTTAGTCGCTTGTTGTACTGGGAGAGCACCAGCGACAAGGCAAAATTCCACGCCTCTCTTCCAGCGTGGTTAGTCTTTTTTTATAGGATAAGGGTGACAAACGAGCTCACAGTCCACCTAATGGTAAGTAGTTGCTATGACCCGTAGACATCTACATCTATCCTCGATTACGAATCAAAATGTAGATGCGTTGTCACCCGTGACAGCTAAGATGGAATGCCTCGTTTCCAGTAAAAAGAGTCTCGGATTCTCTATGGTAAGTGTAGACACTTACCATACGAAACACAGCAACTAAGAGCTGTTATTTTACGCTGGTATTCTGTGAGAGTGTGATCCTTCCCAGTCGAACCGACCTAATCGTGCTACAACTATATCGTCACGTTAAAAAATTTGGTATGAGAACAGCCAGTCCTGATGACAGGCATTAAAATCCCCCAGAAAAACCAACTGTGGAGTAGGATACCGATTTAGAGCCACATGAGAGGCTTCACTGAGATGTTCAAATAGCCTAGTTGTATCCTAGTCACCGCTGTGCGATCGTTAAATACAAAAATAAATTATTTTATCCATTCCTGTGTAAATTGTGGAGAAATTGCAGTCCTCAAGATGACAGAGACGCTTACAATAGATGTTATTCTGGATATTCACACTAACACAGGCGCGCGTGTGGAAATTATGCTCCAATGTGTACCAGCTCCAAGGTAGCCAAGATACTCCGCATCTAGAGGACATCTGATATTAGTCTCAGTCAAGAAGAGTAAGTGTGGCTTATGAGTCTCAAGGTGGTAGTGGACTGCATTGAGTTGACAGTGCAGACCTCGGATGTTTGTGAGGTGCAATTTGATGGATATGGATTGCAACCGCTGTAAAGACTTACACTTCTTTTTCCTTTTTTTCATGCCACATTGACACAAACATAGTCACAGCATCGACGGTACCTGGCATAGAGAACGCAGGGATGCCCGAACCCATCTGAAAATCGCCATCAAGACCTCTCCTCCGGGCGCCAACCAGTATAGTAGAGCCAAAATAGGATTTTTCGTAAAATGGTGGAGCTGCCTTTCATGAGTGGCTATAAATTGGGCCCCCAACTGGCTACGGTCGGCCAGCGGTGCAACCGTGCTTCGGATCCCGCTAACCTCCATAACCAGGCACTTGACACTAAGAAACGGCCGCGGCGTAACTGTTTCTTATGCGGAACGCAAATGTACAGAGCCATTCTCCTAAATAATTTGGTTTCACCTAACATCGTACCGGAACACGACTTACTTTTCCAGGGTTAAGAAAATTTATTTAAAGTCCAAACTATTGTTTATTATAAATATTGTTAATATTTAACAGAAGTACGAGTAACTGTATTATATTTAACTCTTTATAAACGTTTTTGATAAAATATTATATTATTATGATTTTTGATCATAATTAGATATTTGAAGTGGGAACATTAACTTAAATTTTTCCATTCCATTGAAGTGACATCCAGCAGTGGACTGCCATAATACTAGCGAGAGTATAAGACCATTAGCTTCGAAAATTCACACAGTTATTCCACTAGGATAGTTAAATAAATGACGAACATTATTGCAATTTGTAATAAATTTAATTTGCTTCAAAATAAATTATTGCACCTTAATTATTTTATATCGGTTATGAAAGTTTGGGACGTCTTCGGTTTATCGCACAGATAAGTACAAAATGCTACCAAAAGTCCAGAGTCCGACAAAAATGATAATTAGTTGGAAAATCTGAAAGAGAAACCACACATGAATAAATTGTTATAAAATACTTAAGAAAACAAATGTGCATATTACAATAATTAAAAAAACTACTCCTTATAGCCTAAATTGTACGCTTCTTTTGAATGTGTATTATTAATTATTAATACATGTAAATTAAAACTGAAAAAATAAAATAACTAATTATTGAAAATAACGAAATTGTCCAGTCATTTTAGCATAAAAGAGGGAAACCTAGGAATGAGAGATAATAAGCTGAATTTTTGTATATACCTTCATTTTGTTGTTCTGAAATTAGTCTCAAGTGTCTCATAAAGTCTCTTGTCTGCGTCGTAAGCTATTCAAGGTCAAAGGTATAAAAAACAGGTTTTCGCGATTTCTATTGCTTCAGTGATGTTAACATCTATTATAAAAATTATAGAGCATAAAATGTTATGCTTTACAATTTTTGCAACGCTCAGACATGCGTATACATTTTAAAGATAGAATACTTAATTATTTTTCAACTTAAAATTTACCTTCAATAATTTCATTTAATGAGTTTTTAATTAAACAAAGTAGATAAGTATTATAAAATGAATATATTAAAAATATGTAAAATGTTATTAAATACAATGTATAACTCACAAATGACACAAATTGTTCAAGATTCAAGGTAGTATTCACAGATATTCACGGTTGACCTCGCATTACAGTACGTATAGCTGAGCGCTATGTGCTCACCACCCTCTATCGCCATAACATTTTTATCGCAATAACGTTGTGCGCATGAAAAAATATTTCAAGTAAAATCTGTTGCAAATTGTATGCTCCATAATTTTAGTACATCATTGTAGCAACAGGAACCGAAAAAATCGCTTTAAACTGTTTTTTTTTAATCTTTGACTTTGAATAACTTACGACTCTGACACGAGATATTATGAGACTTTTGAAACTACTTTTAGATCGTCAAAATGAAGATATGTACGAAAATTCAGCTTATTATCTCTGATTACGAGGTTGATCGCTAATTTGACTGGACTAAAAGCTTCAAGTGATTGAATACCTATCTAATAACTAAGGCCTACCACGGACGTACAATTGTTAAATCGATCAAACTGTTTATTGGAGTTGTGTACTCGTGACGATTTCATGACGACTAAACTATTTATTCTATAAATAAGAAAGTACTAATATCCAAATTAACCTTGAATACATTTAATTCAATACAAAATAAATAAATAAAGGTAACTTTTTCCAATTTCGTTATTTGTTCAATTTCCACTTACACATTCTTGAAAATATCCGACTAAAAAATAAATGTAATGTAATAAATACACATTTACCTTATCTTGCCACTGTCGATTGCGCACACATTCACTATACGGCATATTTGTAAATGAAACTGAGTTATACAAGGGAACCCATAAATCTGGTAATAACCAAAACAGAAAATCATCAATCGATTTCCGAAACAGATATGATGGCCGAGTAACCAAATCTCGCATCTGAAAATTAAAATTCTATTTAGACAATCCTCAAGTGAACTTGAATTCAAAACTACATTACTATTTTGTCTCAATTTCTAACTCCTAAACAGCCGTAAGTTAAACCCTATCGTAAGGAACCTGCTCCCGATTTTTTTCATGTTCTCGGTTGGTCCCTCCTTCTAAACTCGAGGACTTCACATACAATAGAAATACAACTATGTTTTTTCTAGTATAACTATACAATTTTTTTCTGAATGTCCTGCTTCTCCACAGCCAAATTTAAAACTGTATTGTAAAGAACATGCTTGCAGCTCCTTGTGTGTTCTTGCTTTGTCCCTCCTTCTAGACCCGTAGACTTCACATACCATAGAACAATAACTACGTTTTACCTTAATGGCAAGTATGTGTTAAAAGTTGTATATTTGATAGTACAATGATATTTAATATCCGTGAACAATCCGTGACACTTGGGTCAGCCCCTACTTCTACCGGCTCATATTGAATGAAACTTACCTCGATATAATTATACATAGCGAGGTCACTTATAGCGAATACATCCTTCCATCTAGTATCAGAATATTCTGAAAGAATTTTCGCAATGTCATCATTATGTTTCTGGAACAATTCGTCGAGAATGGTACAATCTTCGAAGCCGGAATTCATGCCTTGACCATAAAATGGTACTACAGCATGTGCTGCGTCACCAATAAGAAGAGTTTTGTCTATAACATTATACGGTCGACACTAAAAGAAACAGAAAATGATAAATAAAGTATGAAATCAAAAAAAGACTTGGACACAAATAATACGAGTATACATTACCTTAACTGAAACTAGTGGTAATGCTGACGCAGCGAAAAAGTCCTCCAACAATTTCTTTTTTCCTATTAATGGAATTGCGTCAGCAAAATACTTTCCGAAGAAGGCTAAAACCTTCTCTTCAGTGTCGATTTCATTAAACTTAGCGAATGGCATGAATAGTGTAACTGTCCATGTACGGTCTTGATTTGGTAAAGCAATCAACATAAAATTACCTCTTGGCCAAATGTGCAAATATTTTGATGGCATCTGAAACTGTACAGAAAGGTTAAATTATCTTTTTATGATTATCTAAATTAACGAACGTGTACGTTTGTTTAAATTGTAATAAATAACAGTAATACAAGACAGTTATGGATAAATCTACATCGTTAGAGCATCGTTAATCACACCGCTTGTTTGTATTTATTTATGTTAACTGAATATTTTGTTTTGTAAATAATCGATAATAATCATTTTTTTATCAGCAGTAACGAAATATCTACCAAAGCAATATGCAGTGTATTAAAATTATATTTAAAAAAAATTGTGTGTAACACCTATGTGACTTTAGTGTTTTCCAATGTAAACGTCAACACTTTATTAAAGTCCATTAACATTAATAACTGTTACGTAATGGTTGTCAGATCATATAAATATCAAGATTGGCTTTTAGAAACTAATGTTTACCTTATTATAGCACGAGATTTGAATGAATTATCTGATGGTATATCTGAACTGACAAAAGATTTTCTTTGAAACCCTACGGCTAGTTTCATTGTCCAATTTGAAACATTGAAAACAATTCATTTGCAGAAAGCGTTTGATATATTAATAAAATTTAGAATATATAGTGATATTTCTGTTAAATTTTATGCCTACTGACGAAAATGAAATATACCCTTATTTTCTATTCAATGACTATACTTGTGGATAACATTTTGATCCAATACAATATCTGGGATTTTGCAGAGATTCTTTTGGCTGGAAGTGTAATATCCTTATTTTTTTTCTTATCGTAATATTTACCAATAAGAATTGTTCTAACACCTTAAAAATTAAAATAAAATCTGCATCTATCAAGAAAAATTATCGAAAAAATCTCAGATTACATAACGTAACTACAAACGGAATGATGAAAATATCAGTATAGATAATACTTGCAATATTACTACTCCGACTACTATAGTTACTTGTGAATTTTACAGTTGTTATTTGATTTAGAATGTTTCCTCTTTGGCGCGAATAAGATTTATTACATATTAAATTAGACAAACATTCTTAAACTTTGGCTTTGCAAATGTATGTTTTTGAAAAATTTTTCCTGAATAAAGAAATTATTATTATTATTATTAAAAAATGTACCTTACGGCTATCGTCAGAAGAAAGAATGTTGTTTATGGATAAAGTAAATTAAACAAGTCATATAAATTAATAATCATAAACTCTTAAACTTACCTCGCCGTCCTCTCCGGGTGGTATACATAACTCCATGTACCCATGTTCAATATACTTTTGGCTATAATCGAAGAGCGGTTGTTTCATCATCGCTTTTCGAACAGCTGAATATGCGCCGTCAGCACCAATGATCAAATCTGCATTTACTTCTACAGTTTCTTTGTTTTGAGTTCTGTAATGAAATTATATTTACTTTTGTAGTAATATAATATTTAAACTTCAAATAAGAAACACAAACTGACTTCAAAACTATTTTCCACATAAAATGTCGCACTATGTCTTAGCAGCGAATTCAGAGTGTGAAATTAATCGACTTTTTATTTTATTTTTGTTATAATATATAGTGTTAGAACAAGATTTGAGTAGATATTAAAATCAAATAATAAATATATTTGTGTTTGACTATAAAGTAAAAAAATTTGCATGTGATTACGTATGTGGCATAAGTTCATATATTAGTTAGATAGAATAACATACCTGTCATAAAAGAAAAACAACGTTTATGGTATTCATACGTGCATTGCATATAAAATGACATATTCATTAAAGTACGCTTAAAACAAGAGCCATATTATTTCTTTGCGTAGTTTTTTTTTGTGCGAAGTTTGATGTGAAGTGATTGCTGTGGCCCATAGACATCTACATCTATCATCGATTACAAATTAAAAACGAAACACAGCAACATTAAGCTGCTATTTTACGCTGGTATTCTGTGATAACGTGGTCCTTCCTCGGTCGAGCCGACCCATTCGTGCTACAACTATACTACTAATATAGCTGCAGCAGGGCTCTACCACGTTAAAATGTTCTTATTCGAAGTTCTTATTCGTAGTACATATTAATATAGGTAAATGTAGCCAACGGCACTTATGCGATTCCGAAATCTGTCTTACCGTAAGGCTACGTGCTTTCAAGAGACCTTTTTAACTCCATGAGGTAATTTTATGAAATATAGCTATATTATCAACAATACCAACATCATATTCACAAATCACACAACATTTATATGTTTAAGATTATTATAAAAATACTCACTTCAGAAATGTCAAGGAGCCCTTATGTAGATCCGCATTAATCAGTTTGTGATTGAAGTATTTCTCGACATTTCCGTATTTTTCCGATTCTGTAATAATTTCAATTCGACTAAAACTGAGAACTGAACAGACAACTGTTTGCATGCCTAGTGCGCATAATAAATTTAGATCAAACATAACTAAACGTACATTAAACTTTGTCCTTGGATTTATATTGTTGACGATGTAAAATAATATTTCCGATACCACGTACTGTGTTTATAATAAAAATGAAATATGTATCGTTACTTCCAATTCGTCGCTAACGCCGCAAAGGGGCGAACCTCAATTTGTCAATAAATTACAGGAGAGCAAGAAAACTTTTATTATTCCCCGATTACTAGATTTTTTCATCAGAACATTAATCTCATTTGTCGTTTTCCATTAAGTCTAATATATTTATTTTTCTGATAAAAAAAGCTAGTAATCGGTGTACGATATTCTACTGGGTTTAGCGACTTACCGCTACAATCTCCCTGCAACCACGAATCCAAGGGCTGGCTAAAGGAGCTCGGGGCAGTCGTTACAGTGATAGTAGTATCAAAGTTCAGCAGAGTGTATCGCACAAGAGTCCATAGGTTACACGTACAACACTTCCAGGTGAAAGGATCTTGAGAGATGAGCTTGAGTAATACGAAATTATTTGTATGCGCGCGCGTCGGCGGTTTTGATTAGACTGTTCACAATTGCCGCCAATCGATGAGGCGCTTGTGTCGCTCAGAGAACCATAACCCGCAAGATTATGGATGCATTCAGAATGAAAACAGTTGATCGCTAACCCAATGAATTTAATTGAAATATAGAAAAATAATATGTTCGAAATTGTGTTGCCTTGTACTTGTTATTATATACGAAAAAAAAAGAAACCAAAAACGGTACGGAACAATCGGAAAATAATAAATGTTTACTTACTCTCCTCTAATTTTTTGAAAAATTGAGGAATTCACCCCTTTGCGGCGTTAATGACGAATTGTCATTATCATCATTACAACCCTTTACAAGTCTAAAAGTGAACATAAGCCCCTTCTATTCCATATTCCCACAAGAATTGTCACAAACCACGGTCCTGAGCCACCTGCATCCACCGAATTGTATTGCCATGTAGCTCGAAGAACCAACAACCGATCGAGGAGTAAGTTTCTCTAGCGGCAGTTTCGTACCAGTAAGCGAAGTGTAGGGCAGCCCGCATTAGGTAGAGTGACGACCTAGTAAGTTATGCAGTAAGTAGGTTACTTCCGATGCCGGAACAAAATTTCAAGAGTACATAAAGTTTTTGTTAAATTTAGACCAACAGAGAAAAATGACGGAGCGCTGCTTATATATCAAGTGACGCGAAAACCAAGCCAAAACCATGCTCAACGTATTGTATGAAGATGTTCCTTCGGTGTCGTAAAAGGAAACAGAGGTAAACAAATCAAGATAACAGCAGCAGCGTGTTCCTAATAACAAGAAAAAAATAAAAATGTGGTTGCCAACCCGCCTGCCAAGCAACTATGGCAAAAATCCTAATCTCTAGGGAGGTCTATGTTCAGCAGTTGACTTTGATAGGCTGTATTGAATTAATGAATGAATGAATGAACATTAAATATAAGTGATTATACATACCTTTTAAAAGTAGAGAGTTCAAATAATTACGTCCCACAGAGTAGATGCACTAAAAAATAATAATATCAAAATTAAATTAAGAAAAAACATATATTTGAAATTTTAGTTTAATTATAGGTAACTTACCTGATTTGTTCTGGCATCGTACGGAATGACATATGTAGAACCATCGAATTTGTGAATGTATCGACCGACCATAGGGATACCATGTTCACGAATCATGTGCTGTTCCAATCCCACGCTTTGTAGAGCCTTCCTTCCACGCACTGATAGAGCTAAATTTATAGATCTCCCTCTTACATGAGGTGTCCTTCGTATATCTAAAACACAACAATAATTTTATTAATTTTTCAGGGGTGTAAGAAAGCTTTTTCCCAAAATGTTAACTACGTCAGCAAGGTGCCCTGCTGACTAAGAAACGAGACTGTTTCAATACAAATAATATATGAAAAAATACTGCACTAATAGTCTTTTATCTCACTAACAAAATGGTACGAATCATTTATGTGCGCTCTGGTGTGACATCTCAGCGGTTACAGAATTGCTGCTTGCGGTTACAGAATCCTGCTTCGTTTGATGAAAGGCAAGACGGCTCCGTGTCGTAGTGGCTTAGCAATGAGTTGCAACGCTTGGGGCTGCGTGTTCGTATCCTGCACGGAACAAGTATTTGTATGGCCTACAAATAATTGTTCCGGGTCTGGATGTTTGTCCTTGTGCTATATATGTTTTTAAACTGCCTCCACGATAAAGGAGAAAATCCCAGTGTGGGGGTAACGTTTTTTTTTAAGGAAAAAAATAGTGGCAAGTGTTGAGTCAACTTTAAGTTCAGATCTGGTTCACAATGGGACGTTGTAGAGCGTTTGGTTTGAGTAATTACGGTAACCCATACAACCTCAGTGGTTTGGTACACGGTGGTATTATCGTATTTACATACATCGAGATTTAATTTTTCGGAGTAATTCTTAAAGAAATTACCTATATCTCGCTGACAATAAAACTATGGTCAGTTTTGATGTTCAGTCACTATTTACATGCTTACCTATTGAAGACTGCATCTCAGTTGTAACTAGGAAGCTAGCAGAATACAACATGCCTACATAATATGCAGTATTACTCAAACACTGCCTTACATCTGGCTATCTATTGTAGAAGGGGGAGTTCTACACGCAAGTAGATGGTGTGGCGATGGGCTCACCTATATCTCCCATAGTCGCCAACATATTCATGGAGAACTTTGAGGATAAAGCCCATCTTACTGCTCCTGTAAATCCAAGATTCTACAAGCGGTACGTAGACGACACTTTCACAATTTAACATCTGACAAAGTAACTGCATTTTTAAACCACCTTAATTCCATAAACTCTAAAATACAATTCACAATGGAGTTAGAGGCAAACAATTCTTTAGTTTTCCTAGATGTTTTAGTGATCCGAAATCCTGGTAACACTATTGGTCACATTGTGTATAGGAAAAAGACCCATACCAACCAATATTTAAATGGTGAATCGCACCATCATGCTGCACAGTTAGAAAATCTTTATTTCAGAGAGCACGAGGGATCTGTAACAGAAATGATCTGGCCGCCGAGCTTCAGCACGTCGAGCAAGTATTGCAAGACAACAAGCTTCGTGTCCCGCGCCTACGTCACAGAGACCGAGTGAAGCTGGCCACAGTCGATCGTGTGCCTGCTGTACTACTCTATGTCAGAGGAGTCACAGACAAGGTTGGCTACATCTTGAAGCGAGCTTCTATTAAAACATACTTCAAGCCGCCGAAGAAGATTAGTCAATTTTTACAACCCGTCAAGTGTAATATCCCTCTATAGGATGCAGGAGTGTACAAGCTTGATTACGTATATGGTCTCTCTTATATAGGACAAACAAAAAGATCCATTAAGCCCCAAGTGAAAGAACATATAGCTGACGTGAGGACCGACGCTCTGGGAAGTTTGCAATCTGTGTACATGTTCAAGATCGTCCCCGCCATTACATCAGATTTGATAGACCACAAATCCTCGCAAAAGAACACCGATTCTTACCAAGAATGATACGCGAGTCTATTAAAATTAAAAACATCCTAAATTGAAGATGGATGGGTGCTGCCATTTGCTTGGGATCCTACAATTAACAAAATTAAATTAAAACCCAAGCATACCACTGCAAGACTCCAAGATACTGTAAGCTCATTCTGCGTAGATCGAACCAAAAATTAATATTCAAAAACTGAAGGTTATCGGGTTAACTGTGACATCGGGACGTCAAACATCTCAGTCCCTCCCGTGACCATGGGTTGCTTGCTGTAAAGCACCCGAAACATCGGGAATTAAAATAGTAAATTAAACGCGATAAAATCCGTAAAAATAGTTTTATTCAATGTGTAGTGTTCGCTTAATTATAAGAAATCATTTATATCCCGATTTTTTCTTAATTTTGTATAGCCTAAATGTCATATGATTAATTTTTATTTTATTATAATATCATTATTATTCGTCTAACATCAATTATTGACTACTTTTAGTATACTTTGAAATACAAACAGATTGCAAAGATAATATTTGCACTACCAACCAAATTAACAAAAATATCGACACCCGTTACGTTCATCATCGAAGTATCAAATTACATACTTTACAGGAGAGTACTTTTAAAATTCACTGAGATTACTATCGGGTTGACACTATGAGAAAAAAAATATTAATATAAAGATAAGATAACGAAAATAGGGAATAGTTATATTAAAATCTTAATGTAACTATTTAGAAAACATTCTAGTGGATACTTTGAACTTGTGATATTCTTTGGAGAACTCAAAAGATATAAAAATACATTTTAATAAAAAGTACAAACCTATTTCCAAACAAAAAAACGTTATTCCACATAATAGCTTCGAAATTCGGGGCTGTAACTATGATACCCTTTGTCTAAGCACCAATTTCAGAAAATTTTATTTTGTAAAAATTATATTTTCTAGCAATTTCTTAACCTGAAATATGTTAATAATATGGTACTATTAGATCGTCAGTATTTTTTTTATTTACATTAATAACATACATGATTCATAAGTTATCCATAGAGATAACCATGATATAGTATTATTTGCAGATGACACTTCTTTAATTTTCAAATTAAGTCGACAATTATTAAAATATGACGAAGTAAATAATGCTATATATAATTATTAAATTGGTTCAATGTTAATAATTTGCATTTAAATGGCACTAAAACGAAATGTATGAAATTCATGACTACAAATGTCAAACAATTTAATACTAATGTAATTTTAAATGGGGAGAAACTGAGTCTTGTAGATACCACGATTTTTCTTGGAATCACACTAGACGCGAAGCTTCAATGGAGCCCCCATATATCAAAACTAGCCGTAAAAAAGATTAGAAGTCTAACAGAAAATATACAAAATTTGACTTGCTCAAAGTTCAAAAACTTTATTAAAGTAAGTTTGTATAAAAAGGGTTATTATAATATTAAAGAATTTATAGATGATAATAACCCCTGGAAATGAGGTGATCGCTACCAAGTTATTTCTAATTTGTTGTGTAGTTAATTTGTGTAACATACATGATTGTAAGCTGTTATTTAAAAAAAAGAGTCCCGCTGGGTTTCTTGCTGGTTTTTCCCAGGACGGAGGTTTTTTTTTTCGAACCAGTGGTAATTATACAAAAGAGTGACTTTCAATAAGTATTATTTATAATCTATATTGAATAAAAAGGTTTGTGTTTCTGTTTCTGTTTCTGTATCACTGGCAACACGCACTGGTTGTACAATCTCGTTTTCAAGTTTTGAGATGTTGAAGATGTGACATAATTTCCCGAAGGCTGCCCAGCCGAATTTAATCCATCGGTTGACCTCTCAGTCGAAGTTGGACTAACAATAACATCGAGTTTAGTGCTCCCAAGAACTACCGGTATAGGTGTGACATGGATGTTATACATGATCTTTTTTGTCCATGATCATCTTAAGAACAGGTAGGCCGTTGGGAGGCGATATTGATGTTAATGCCATATCCTTTCCAGTCAAGTATCTGGAAACCGTCTTCCAATGCAGCGGTGAGAGTTTCGGGGATATAACGTCACTGTGTTTTACACCTCTCTGCAGTTGGATAGCTTTCGTACTCTGGTTCTGTACTCGGATAGCCATCGTATCCCTTCTGTACAAACACTTCAGCACTTCTATATATCGACAGTCAACTTGGCACCGCTAAACGATTTTGTAACTCGAGTTTAAAGTTTTCGGTACTTTAGATTAGAACACGAGGGGAGCGGATCATTGACTTCATTAGACGTGACCTCTCCAACTTAACGTTTAGGTTCAGTTTTCACCCTCGTGATCACTGAGACATAGCAGTTGCCATCTAGTCGTAATAATGGAGTCATTCTCATTTTTGTCGAACCGTCGGGGCTCGTCCAGGTCCACTTTCTGTGGGGGTCGCTTCTGGAAAAAAGAGTTCATTATAAAGAGTCCCTCTTTCTTCATGAAGTCGGGCAGCTGGTGATCCCTTGGGTCTTTTGGTCTATCCCGAATTTCCTGACATTCAGCTCACCGTTCTCTCTTGTGTCCAATTATGTGTTGAAGTCTCCCATTAACACCGTATAGCGGATTTTAGAGGAATGAATTTCTTTACACATATAAACGGTCCCCAGTCCCCGGTGGCCCCACTATTTCTGGCTACGGTGGCGATCATGGTAACGGTGGGGCAGGGGGTGCTAAGAATCTCCGTTGAAGGTTCGGTTGCCACCTAAGATAACTCGATCTGGCAACATAAAACACACGCACCCTGAGGATTGACGAAAAGATCCTGGAGCTGGAAGAAGAGATAGATAAGTTGCGCTGGAATATTATAGAATTATCCGAGATCCGAAGAGAGGTATCCGGTAATCCTCTGCCATCTCTCTCAAAGAACTGTCGGATTTATCGTCCACAAGTCTCTCATTAACAGCGTTTTAAATATCTAATCTAAATCTAAATAAATAATCACCAAACGGTATTCGCTGAAAGTCATACCGGTTTACGCACCAACCTCGGCACACCCCGACGAGGAGGTGGAGGAAATGTATGAGGATATCTCTAGAGCCATGCATTCCTTCAACACCCAATACACGGTGTTAATGGGAGACTTCAATGCAAAACTAGGCACAAGAGGGAATGGTGAGCTGAAAGTAGGGAAATTTGGAATAGGGCCCAAGGGGCCAGCAGCTGGCCGACTTCATGGAGAAAGAGGGACTCTTTATGATTAACTGTTTCTTCCAGAAGCGGCCCCACAGGAAGTAGACCTGGTCGAGCCCCGACGGTTCGACAAAAATGAA